CATTTTGAAAGGCTAATTCAAGTTAGTATTCTTCTCTATTGAATGCAAAACCTTACTGCGAAGAGTGTTTCCTTGGGCGCTCATCCTGGAAGGGCAGCAGAGCCCAAAGCGAAGGGCTTGGGCCCTCAGTTCCTTGCAAATGTCAAAATCAAATTAACTCAAATCACAAATTACAAAAGTCTCTTGTAACAAAATTTTCAAACTTCATTTTGAACTAACAAATGAATTTCTCCATTTATCAACATTTTTCAGCTTCTAATCAAAAATGAACTATTATATTTCACTTGATTTGACAGTAAGAAGTCAGGTAGGTCGCTTGTGTTGCTGGCTTAGCCGATTTGCCCAATCAGGCTTTCGCACAGTCAAGCGTCCACGTTCGAATACCGCGGTTGTAGTGCGCCAGGGTCTAATTAGGGTTACGACCTGAACGGAACAGTTGCCAGAACAAGAGGTCGATGCATGCCGCCTCAGAGTTTGCTTCCATCAAAAATACCTCAGGTTTCTTCATGAATTTTTTAAAATAAAATAAGAATACATTGCAGATTGTTTGAAAGTATCAAGTTGTGAATCTTTGAAAACGGTGCGAACGACCTTTTAATTCATCCTAATAACATACTCTAAGTAATAATATATAAAAATTCAATAATCAGTTACGAATAATAACTCTCACTCAGCGATGGGGGAGCTGAGTACCCTTGAAGTGAAGGTGATCCCAGCTACCACTGAACGCCAAAAGTGAAGGTTGCCGGTCACTCACCTCCCAAAAACGTCGACGGGGGGGGGGGGGGGGGGGGGGGGGAGGGGGGAGCGTTAACGTCGACTGAGCCTATCCTTCCAGATCGTTGCCGCCAGTGCGCGGAAAATAAGGAATACAAATGTAAAAGAGATTATTGAAAGCATATTTTTATGTATACAGCCGCATAAATATCTAAAATAACGTGCTTATCAAATGGTGTATTTTGAACTAAAAATTAGCGGAACTGTACAGATTTCATTAAGCAAGTTTTGTCATAACATACTGCGAAGAAAGTAGGTCGATTCAGGGAATAACGCCGAGGACCAGAATTTTGAATAATAAAATAACGAAAAATTATGCGAAATTTCTACTGTTATAAATCTGGTGTTTGAAGATGTCAGCGCGACTTCATAGCTTTTAAAGAGTAAAGCCTGCCATATTAGAATATATTTTAGCTGTGCCGATCCATTGAAACAGCGCCGAGATCCAGGTTCTTGAAAAAGCAGGAAGCGTTTTTTGAACTTTAACAGCTCATAATTTACTGCATGAAATATGTTGCGACTTCATAGGTCAGATTCTTCTCATGAAGAGTTTCAAATGATATATGGTTTGTGGGGGTTTATGCCAGGGGGGGGGGAGATTTTCATCACAAATTTTCCCCTGGGGGCCTCTACCCAGTACATTGAAGTGGGCTGTGGGGAGAATTTGTGATGAAAAGTCTCCCCCCACGGGCATAAGTCGTAGGAGGCCCTAAACACACAAACACACACACAGCGCCACTCAAGGGTAGACAGTCTGGAAAGTTGCCCTTTTGATCAAAGATGAGGTTTCCGACAAGTTGCACATAAGAAACTAGAAAAAATACTGCTTGACCCGTACCCATGGATGGGTAATATATACGAGTTCTGCATATGCGGGGACATTTTGCAGATCTTTAGTGGGTTTTGCACAAAATTGGAAAATTTATGGAAAACGTTCAAGATTTTATAAGAACTCTTAAGTGGTTGAAGCAGCGTTAGCTTTCGGTTCAGTTCTAGCACTAATCATGGCCCACACTTCGCACAATCACATGCAGTCTCTCCCAGTGGGGATTAGGCCAAACTGTTGGCTACACGGCTCGCAGCGCTAGGGATGGATTTGCGCTGTATAGGCGCTCTTCTGAAGGAGCGAAAATATTGAAGAGAGAGCAGACAAGCTAGAGTAGAAGTGACGCAACACCCTCGCGACACGGCTCCGTTGGAGTTTGGCCTGATTAAGACTGGGACAGACTCTATAATATGACGAACTCGAGATGAGCCGAAAACAAAACTTTGACTAAGTCATATGCAAAAAAAGCCTCTGCAAAAATCCTTCAGAAGCGGACTTGGTCGCTGACTGATTATTCAGTGATGATACTACAGCTTCGTTTTCTACCATGCTTCAAAAACGTCAGCAGATTTGTGAGAATCAGATGTCGCATACCTTCTCCCAAGACAGATAAGTTCTTCTTTACGTAAGGCCACTGAGTTTTTGCGAGAATATAAACTCTTTGCGACATCTCTACTGTAACAATCCTACTCATTTGAAAGCCCAAGAATGTAAGCACTATGCGCTTTTTCCCGAAACATGAAAATTATTAGTAATGCAGTAAATTACATACCCTAATCCACTTGAACCATAGTGGTTTTGTTATAAAGCGTTCTCATCTAAACTATAGCAGATAAAATTTCTTTCGAAAAAATTGCTATGAAAATCAAACATCCAATCCAGACAGTACCGCTTAGACATTGCCCATACCCACTTAGTAGAACATATGCGGCATAATCGTCATCGGCGATGCAGTGAATGGGCTGCAATCCCAGAGAAGTGTAGCAGAAGTTTGGTGAGTATTTCCCACCGTTTTGAGTGCCGGACATAAAATAGATCTAAGTGATAGAGTGGCATAATAGCAAAAGAGGAAGTTGAGAAAACAAAGGAGAAAAAGACCGAGATTACTATAAAACAGTGAAGGAATAAAATGAGTTGCAGTGGGTTGCAGAGCAGTGCTGTTGATTTTTCTTGGAAATGCACGCAACTTTAGAAGTTTTTGTGTATTGGTTCTTCAAGATTAACGTGCTAGACGTCTTCGATTGAGCTTTGAGCCGAGTACGAGTCGAACTTGTGGCTTCACTCCCTTGAATTACCAAAGGTGCCGCCGGAGAAGAGGCTACACCCAGCCACATTTTTGTTGAGGAGCCTATAGAACTTAGCCACGCTGTTGTTGGCAAAACGGTAGAACTTGAACAAGGTCGCTGAGAACGTAATAGAGCTAAATGCTGTAATTACTCAGTAACCTCTAGCAACTCTACTTCTTATAGAGAACCTTCGAGATCACAGACTATATGACCGGCACCTAATTGCTCCAAAATATATTAAAATATTTTTTCATTTTTCATTTTCATTACAAAGGGGAAAAAAGCCGGGCAAAAAAAAAGTAGGCACCAGTCACCGGATAAAGTCAAAAGACACCCGGAATGGAAACGGTTTAATTCATAGGACGCTTGAGCGCTCCTACCACTTGTTAATGAAGATGTTATTCTTGCCATTTTATTCTTCCATCAGTATTCATTGCTTTTGCTTGCCAATATATGCCGCCTATTTCCCACCTATATTTGCTTACGTATTCGAATGCTTCATCCTTATGTTGTCTAGACGTTACTTCCTTATTCGTTCCCTATTAATTCCCAATCTCATCTGTACTTGATCTAGTGCCATAATCAACCTCCTTCTTATGATTTATTGTAATTATATTAGGTTGCTGCATAAGTTCTGTCCGATTTGAATTTTTTGAGTTCAAAACATCTAACTTCTTTCGAAGTCAATTCCAAGATCTTAGTTTCTATGTGTTGAGCAGTTCCTTTGCTATGAAACACTTATGTATATAGACCTGCGCAAATCCTTATTAAGGAAGAAGCAAGAATGCAAAACTTCACAGCGTTTTTCTTCAAACCTGTCTTTTTTGACATGGCAACGCTCCCTTATGAGAATGGACAAACATCTTATCTAACAATGAATAGATAGAGAAATTTTCGTAGATTTTTATGCAACATAAAAGAGCCCATAGCTGCGCTGCCCAGAGATCTTTTGACCGAGCAAAAAAGAAGCCAATTTTTGACTTCGCTTCAGCACATATGTGCATGCCTATTTACGAGTTTGAAAATTTTACAAATAACGTGAGCGCCGAAAGGAACTGGTAAATGGGCCCTGCTAGCTCTTGCTTTGCCCTAGCACCTCCAACTTTGAGCTTATCTCTTGCTTCTATCCGCAGAAAGTGTGCTCGTATAACATCTATAAGCTCCTGCAAGACGAAGGCGGTCGGTTCGATGTGCAACGCGGTTGCGACATGGCTGCGTCACAGCAGCGTCACAGCCGCGTCACAGCCACGTCGCGCCTCGAACCAACCGCCTTCGTCTTGCAGGAGCTTATATACAAAATTGACGTTCGACAATAATTTTTACTAGCAAGACGTTTTCTTCATGGAACAGAACTTCTGCATCTATTAGTCTGCTACACCCTTATTCCGCAGCCAATGAAAAAACTTGACTTGAAGGGCGTATTGTGGAGATTTCCTCGCAAGAACATGTTTCTAGGGTTAGAACGTACCTCGGCCAGTTAGACATTTTAGGCCTGAAATCTCAGTACATTGAGAAATTTATTGAAATCTGATATGCGTAAGAAAGAGCAAGGAAAGCATTTTCTAATGATACTGCCAATAATGCATTAGAGATGAAATTCTATTGAAACAATTGCTTCAAACATAAGGCAGAAAAAAATGACAGAACTTATGCAGCAACCTAATGTGTGATGTCTTGCGTAAAACATTTCACTGTGCCATGTGTTTTTCAATGAATTTATCTGGCTGTCTACGGCTCGTTTTAGCACGAAAAGAATTTTTACATTAAAGGAACAATGGTTCAATAAAAAGCGGAAAAAGTCTAAATGGTGTTTGGTAGGAAATGGATCAGATTTTAAAACCAAAATCGCAAGGTGCTGCGGAACTTCGAACGAAGTGCGGTCTCACACTTTTTTAGCGTTTCCGCAGCGCTTCGTTGCAGGGGTTCCGCAGGCCCAACGAGAAATTGCGGGCGCTGCGGAAGTTCCGGTCATCTGTAGCTTAACTTATTTACTGAATGTTGCCTGAAGAAGATCTTACATGCCCGATAAATGAAGAGTGAAGGATAAGAGGAAATTATGTAATTGAACCTGCTTCGTAAATTTTGAATAATAGAAGATGTAACTTTTCTAGGTATCCAGCCTCAATGGAACCTGCATCTGACTACATCGAATGTGTAGATGAACCCAAAGGAGAAGACTTAAATTGCTCGGATATGATCAACTTCCGATTAGATGAGTACAGCAGCTACATATGGGATCACCAACACTACTTTGGCGTTTGGGTAAGCTTTAAGAACATGAGCTAAGAAATGACGTGCTGTAAGCGTTATTTGCAGGTTTATCAATATGGGGAATCAGGATGCAATATAACACTACCAGAAACAAAACCCGGTCTCTTCCAGAAATTTGTAAATTAATCAAATGTCTTAATTAGAATGATCGCCTTGTTACCCGTATCCCCATTGATCGACGTTCGCACAAGCGAGTATCAGCGAGGCCTGTATTCGTCCCTGTTTCGGGCCATTTTGACCAATGTTTTCGCAGCAAGAACACTGGAACGTTTCGGACTTCATTAAGGGATTTCGTGAACATGCTGACCATCGAGTCCTCGGCCTTCCTCGTTCGCGTTTGACGTCCAGTGGTGTTCCATCTGTTGTAGTTCCCGTCCACCCGTTGTCGTCAAAATGCATCGCGTGTCCGGCCCAGCTTATCTTGCTCTGTTTGGTGTATGCGACAGACCCAAATTTTTAATCGTTGACGTAGGATAAAACTGCGTATCGCTACCCTCACCTGATTGGGTCAATTCACTCTTGGCATCACCCCTCAACAGCCCCTTCGAAGGCTGCGTTTTCATCCTGCTTTTTCAAAGTCCATGTGACTGAAGCATACGTCAAAGCAGGAGGAAGAGGTGGGCGATGAGCCGAATGTTCTTGATTTTTTTCACTGCGTCCTAATTGCCTTATATGCTCGCCTTCTTGCTCAGTTCCGATGCTATGCTTGTTCATCATGTTGCTATCCAGTCTAGTAGGTTTGAGAATTTGGTGATGTTAGTTCCGCGAGCATACAAGAGTATCAGGCACTCTTCCGGTCCTCTTGAACATCGTCTTCGTTAGATTCAGGTGTAGGCTGATCTTTACACACACACGTCGTCAAACCGGGCCAGCGTTCGTTCCGCTTGTGTAATGCTCAGCGTTATCAAGACGATGTACTCAGCAAGGCGCAAATGATAGTCGCCGGCCGTCGACTGCTCTCATGTAGCGCCATTCTAACCTACGCCTGACTTTCTTTAGAACGGCAGTGAATAGTTCGGCTATAGCATCGCGTTGTCTTACACTTTCTTCACCTCAGTGATGATATCCTTGTTAATTGGTGTGATGTTCGTTATGAAATCGTTATACAACTCAGGAATTATTTGATGTACTAAATAATACCTTGAGTGCTCAAAGCATCGGTGACAGTTTGTCTAAACAGGGTCAAAGACCCTTTTCAAGTCGATGAGTGAGGCAAAGCGGTATCTTGTACACTCGTGACACTTCGATGAGCCTTGACGCCACGTGTTGTGGTCTGTCGTAACGTTCTTTAATGTTAGCTTGCTCGCCTTGTTGCTCTTCGTCTAATCGTCTTCCGTCTTGTTAGGACGAGATTGCCTAAAGGGTTTATAGACTACGACAATAGACAGATAGCGCCATAGTTGCCAATGTCTCTAGGTTCGCTCGTTTTGTACTGCAACACATTTTCGCTGGTTTTACTTACAAGGGGACGATAGTCGGTGTCCGTGGCCTTTGGAGATGAAATGCGTACCGTTACACTCGTCTTGGAACGCTGATTCCAAATTTGGCTTTCGTTTCTGCCAATTGTTTCTCTGAAGTTAAGAAGGATTTTGCATTAAACTTGAATAATCGCCGGGGGTAGGCGGCCATGCGATTTTGGGCAAGCGGGCACCGGAAAACTAGTCCGAGGTTCCCAGGTTCAGCGACGAAAAGAGGGCTTTTGAAACTGCGAGTCCCCATGGATGGTCCTCGTCGTCATGATGGACTCGGACAGTCTCTTTCTTTGTTCGTTCCACTGTAAACCATGGGTAACACTAAAAAGTTCCCGCAGTCGACATTCTAGCTCCGATCTTCGCGTTGAAGTCACCAACGATCCTCTTGTAAAGGGTGTGATCTCTGTAATTTTTCCAAGTCTTTATGAAAAGCGTCGAGCTCATCCTTGTTTTAGCTGGATCTTGAAGAGTACGCAATAAAAACAATTAGCTCAGAGGGAGCGGAACTCAAACTAGGGCCGTGGCTTTAAAAGTCTTTCCGGCTCGATTTCGGCTAATGGCTTGGCCAAGTTCGGCCGGCCTTAACTTGGAGGCGTGGTTTGAGTGTGGCCAACGCGCGGCCATTGTATCGCAACAGTGCCAACCTTCGGTACACTGCAACAGCCGACCAGCAACCCTTACTCGTTGCAACGACCGGCCCGCTGCCCTTGTTCTGCGCCTCTGTCCAGCGACGCACGAGTTAACATATTAGCCATGATCTCGCAATGATGGATTGACGAGGCTGATTTCCATAAAAACAGAAGCTTTGCTACGGTTAGGTTTTTCACTTGGATGGTCTTCATTGATAGAAGCGCTACCCGCAGCAATACCGTCTATTAGTGGTGAGTTCAAGGCTATCAGAATGCAATTTGTGATAGCATTATATAAGAAGACGAGAACTTGCATAATTTGGAAGGAAGTTGAAAGCTGTTTGCAGCAAAACTACTTTCTGCATAGAGTCATGTGCTCTGGTAACATTCACTTTGAGGGGCATGCGAGGAGACAACCTTCACCGAAAAAGAAAAAGACGGAAGTCATCCAGGGCTTCGCCCCGTATGTTATATTCCTGACTATGTCGGGACGAATGTGAATGAAGCAAATATAGGAAAATGATCCTCAGATTATCCCAGCGAAACCGAAAATTTGTTTTTCTACAGCTTTTTTTACGCTAAAATAAGGTTTCTGTGAAAGTCTAATCTTTTATTTGAGCAAAATTGAGTTTCAGAATTTCAGTTTCCTTGAGGAAGGCTGTTAGAGCTGAATAACAACGAGAAACTACGCCTAAATTTTGCGCACAGGTTCATGCACGAAAGCCAGTCTATCTCGTTAATGGGTAATTTTTAACGCTTGGGGCGTTGTCAGTGCTCCTCGCCGTGTCATGACGATCAGAATCATATATAATGTTGCAGGGTTTCTCTGAGACCTTCGGAGATCTGCGACCGGAGTCAAAGCCCCGTCGGGTCTGGTCTGTCTCCGCGCGCTGCGCGCTACCTTGCTATCCCAAACTCAGGGCGTGGGGCATTTGGCTCAGATGCCCTTTCCTTCGTTGTTTCGAACTCAATTTTAGCAAGCTATATATCATATTGAAGCTTTTGATTTCTACTTTACGCTGAAAACGTCCCAAAACCACATTTCTTGATTTGAACGAAAAATCTGGCAAAAAGCTTATTTTCGAAAATCTCCGGTTATTCCTCTAGTTTGACTCTTTTCACGCAGTTCATTATATAGATCTTGTTTTTGTTTATAATTTTGGTCAGACAACGACCCAGTGCTTGTATTCTCGACTATTGCGGAACTTTTTGCGAAAAGTCGTAAAACTTGCGTTTTTCTTATCTTGTTCTGTTTCAAAGCTTTTGCAGCGATTTTTCCAGCTTGGGCGTTGTTACTCAGAACAACAAGCACAACAATCCAGACAACGTCCCAGAAAACAGGAACGTCAACGTGGGGGCAAAAATTTGAACGCATCAAAAACTAAGTTCGGCTTTGACGTGCATTTCGACTTAGTAAAAAAGAAAGTTTGCGTCTTCTTCATAATAACAACTACACCGAAACACTTTTTAAAACAGTCAGAAAAAAAGAAGTTGGCTCTTCCTCGTTCTCCCCCGTGTTGCGAATTGCTAGTTTTGGAACGAAAATCTGCACTTTGAAAAGCCGCCAAATGAAAGATTATAAACTTTATTGCAGGTTTTTATCCGTTCTCAGCAGTTTCTTTTGCTGTTTTGCGTCTTTTTTCTTCTCTAATCTTCCCAAAAAATGTGCCTTTTCGCAGACCTGAGCGCAACGGATTTTTCTCCTTTTTTGGGCATTTCTTCCTAGTTGGTCGTCATCTTTTTGATCTGAGGAGCGCGGTAGGTAGTTGGGGCCATCCCACACCAGGAACACATTTCAAACCAGTTCCTTGCATTCGCATTCATTCTTGGTATTGACGAGAAGAGTTGGCAGAACTTTCTTTACAACCTAATATAATCCCAGTGTTCATATTTTCGTTGTATGGCTATCTCCTCAGGTTCTAAGATGTTTCTACGAATCAGTATTTGCAACCTGTCCCTAACGCGATAAACCCTTTGTTCTTAACATTTGCTTATGGTTATTTTAAGCTGGTTACCTTCCTCTAGACCTATACTTTTCTTACTTTCCATCTAGAATATTTTTATATAGCATTCATCTCTCAGTATTTATAGCTCCTGTTTAGATGTGCTTGATCAGTCCAAACCCAGACTGTGAAGAAGATGAGACGACAGGTGACAATCGCATCGAAGTTGTACCAGTCGCATATCTAAATGCTCTACCGTCCACTACCACCGAGGAGACTACTACCAAACGTTCGTCATCATTTGGGAATTTTCTCCCACTTGTCCTCAGTATCATAGGGTCTTTGTTTGGAGGCATTTGATGACTCGATGTTCCAATTTTTCTATTGCTCCCTTTTTATCACCTTTGATTTGACATTCTTTTTTGAGACAACTTCCGAGAACCAAACCGCTAACTAGTGACCTGTGACCCCTTACGTGTTGCTTAAGATCTTTTTTTCCTTGACCATGAACTTGACTAACTCTTTGCTATGCTATCTCCCTCCACATTCTTCCAAACCACTAGTCGGATGGTCGCTTTTTTCCATAAATGCAGTGATTACCTTAACAGTAGCAATCGTGATGAATAATCTTGTTTGATAGCGCTATGTAGACATTTATAGATTTATTGTCCTATACATTAGGAGGTGTGTTCGTAAGGAAATACTAAATTATGCGCATGATGAGGCAGGTTGTCATCCACTCCATTTTCGAAACCTGCAGACCATTTATTTCATCCTTGCACTTATCGTGAAAATGAACAATTTACTGTGAAATCACAAATTTGACCCTACACCAACAGTCGTGACGTTGCTGGATTTATACACCTTTGATTGTCATAATCGTTCGTTTTGACCTAACGTAATCATACGCTTTCATGCAAGTCATGTACTCCAAAATGATTACTTCCTTCAGCAAAAGCAATACACGTTTGGGAGAAAATCATTCTGTGTTGAAAATTCCTTACAAGGGATGTCAGGTAACTTATAATCGCGGGAAATCAGCTCTAGACACTGATTCCAAATATGCTGTTCCTAGCTGCGGCACTTCATTCTGAAGCGAGATATCGATTTTTTTCTGTGCAAAATTTGCATACTCTTTGACTTACTAGCATTACGTATCATCCCTAAATGCTAAATAACTGCATAAAGCTTCTTGTCAATTACAAAATCAATCTGATATAATTTTAGTATCCCAGGAACGTTTTTAGGCAGACTTCCATCTACAGGCAGCCCTTCCATACTTCCATCTACAGGCAGCCCTTCCAGCGTTCGAAGCTGATTCCAAATATATGTGATCTCTCACCATACGGAAACAATCACGCACAGAAGAAAGCTCATAACTCCCTGCAAAATAATGCGTCGCAGCTAGGAAACATATCTCGAATCAGCGTTCGAAGCTGATTCCAAATATATGTGATCTCTCACCATTTTTCAGTATTTTTACACAACATCCGGTCCCTGTCTCAATTCTACATGTCAGTTCCCCGCCCTTTTGCGTTTCCTTAATCAACGGCTTTGTAGAAAAAGAACTTTCTATTCGAAACTTACAATACGTTCACAATTAGTCAAAAAAGTCGCCGAATTCCACCAGGTGGTGACTTGCGGTCGCATTGCAAAAATGCTGGTCCAGAATCCACAAATTCTGAGCCCAGTGGCACCCTTCGACTCATTTCGGCAAGATGCATCTTCTGATATACATAAGTGCCTGACACAAATCGTTTTAGATTTTGCTTACGGTTGTTACTCATTGTGCTTATTGATTACACTCACTTAAACCTACTGTATGCAATAATCTATATAGAGTTGTGGAAATTTACGCCTATCCTCATTTTCCTGACAATCAACAAACCAGCATCGAATTTACACAAACAATGCAAAAAACAAATATTCTTGAATTGAAAGCTCGTCCCTTAGTTCCCTTATCCCTTACTTCATTTTGATGAGAAAGTCGAGGTTGGAGTATATGGTTGACTGATTGATAATTTCGGTCGTTTGCAGGATGTTCTTGAATAGATTTGATTTTTAGACATTTAAAAATCTTCATTTTTAGACACTTAAAAAGCTTCAAGTTCTTTTTAATTTTCTGTGTATCAAAACTCCTAAAGTTGAACACCATTTTTTTATAACTTGCTTTGCTCCATCGAATAATTAGTTTCACACATTTTTATACATTCTTTGCAATTTCAGGATGTCTTCAGTTATGCATCAACTCGATATTCCTTGCTATTCGAGTCACAAAAACGACCAAAAACGTTCTAACTTTTTTCTTTTCGAGTGTGGCATCCGTTTTCTTGATACAATGCATCTGGCGATGAGCTACATATGGCGAACTATTTGTCTTATGCTAAAACAGAAAAAAATATATTCACTTTTCAAATTCAAAGTTTCATTAAAAACAATGTAAGGGAAATTGCAGCTGCGAGCTTTCTATCCCTTCTTGGCCTTCTGGATGCATTGAGTCTAGGGCTGTGCTTGAAAGTTCAAAAAAGTGCTTTTCATGGCGTTTTCCGGTCTTGGAGATTTCTGTAAGGGATGGGAGAGCGATCGTCAACTGAGTCGCGATTGAGTGCCTGAGCCGATCAGCCAATTGCCGGCAAAATGGGGGAGTTACAGTCGTCTGCAGCCAGTCTCTATTTTTGAGGAAAATTGCTCGCCCAGATCCCTCAGCAATCTCCAAAGCTGGAAAACGCCAGAAAGCACGTTCTACCTTTTTAAGCATAGTCCCCGACTCAGCGGATCTGTCCCATGTGGTTATGAAAAGCTAGCAGTCGCATATTCCCCGAACATCAGCCTTTATTGTAGACTGTTAGAGGCTCATCTAGCAACTTATGTACAGTTTCTGGTTAGAGGCAGCGCCCCGGCAAAAAGATGGGTTGCCGGGTTTTCTTGGCAGTGTTAAAGAAGACACCCTACCTAAGCGATGATTGATGTTCGGAGCGAAAGAGGGGGCCTACCAAGTATACTTGGGGCCGAATCGAATGATTATTCGATTATTCGAATAAATCATTCGAATGCGAATCATTCAAAAAGTAGAATATTCGAAAATCTGAGATTTCGAGTAAAATTCGAAAGTCGAATATTCGAAATTTTCAGTTTTCGAATATATTCGATATTCAAATATTCGAAAATTTCAACTTTCGAATATTATTCAAAAGTCGAATATTCGAAAATCTCAATTTTCGAATGTTATTCGAAAGTCGAATATTCGATGGTCATCAATTCGATCATTCGATGGTCATCGAATATTCGAATATTCGATAATTTGAATAATGAAACCAGAGCCCGGCGCAGATTATATGAAAGCAAGCTGGATTTGGTTTTTGGGACGAAAAAGAAAATGATACCATTTTTGTGGCCAAAAATTGCGACGTTTTTAGTCGGCGTTTCGTCTTTTGAGGGTTTTTACGTTTAGGGCTGACAGTCAAAGGGGACTTCGTCTTCAAGAAGCCTAGAAACGATCCCATGCTGGGCCCTGGATGGAACTCCTTAAGCCTAGCACGTCATAGGAGTTTCTATCAAGCTACAACTGTGTATAGGCGCCGTAAAACCTAATTGCTTGCGCCGTGCTTTGAACACCAGCGCAAGCGAGCGGTCGTCGCAAACGATTGTCGGCGTTCACTATATTCCAAGAAATCTTTCTTTAACTTTCATGTTGTTCTCGTCAATGCAGGGTATATCTTGACGAAAGCTCCTCTCAGAAGTTTAGAAATATGTGCGGAAAGGGTGCGCGATTGTCGCTCGCAAAAGGCCTGTAGCGCTTCGGGACCAAACGTTCCCAGCCGCGTCGCGCGTTGGTGTTCAAAGCGACGCATGGGCAATTGGATTTTACGGGGCCTGTATATGCTTTGTGGTCCTGGCGCAGTAGTCTATACAGTAATCGTGATGCGCCATTTCTGTCGCAGATGTAGCTGCTATCGATATTGCTATCCAGGGACGCCAGATTTTGATGTTCTTCAACAGCGTCTATCAGTTCTTCATGAGCATCATTGAGTAAACTTTAGAACTTAGACTTAAAGTTTGAACGTTTAGATCCACCGTAACACGGCTTTATGACCCCGACAGGAAAAAGTGAAAAATGAGTATTGATCTGCGCACCGAACAACCTCTTAGACCAATGTTTAACAAGATTTCAAAATCTTGTAGATACAGGGCATTACGATACCTCCCCTCCCCCCCACATGCCTGCTGAAAGTACGAGCAAAATATACTCCGGGGGACTTTTTAGCTGCATCTCTTCTTTTGTACACTATTTCTCTTTCTCTGACCAAACTCAGATTTATCTCTGAGTTCTCTGAGTTCCACGATAGACTGTAACGCCCAACAAACTCAGAGTTATCGCAAAGCACAGCTGCGCGTTTGGTGGCGCTGCTTCTTGTGCAGAACGATTTCGACAATGTTTTCCTACTAGGGATAAATTACCGGTTACGGAGTCTCCTGCCATATATCGCTTTCTAGATTTGGTCCATTCAACTGTAGAAGGGGTATGAAAGGTGCGAGTCAGCTCAGATATAACTCAGAGTTAAGTCAGAGTAACTGGAGTTTCGACCAGATTACTACCGACCCTGCCTGAGGTCTAGTGCACGCTGTTCCTCATTCGCATTCGGAAAAGGTGAAAGTGGTGAGCGTGAATGTGAAGATGTTCCTGATATCGTCGCGGCGTTACTTCCACTCGACATCTTAAATTGAGGGCGTATTCAAGATAATGCACTAGTGACCGGAAGGATAGTGTTGTGTCAAGAAGTTCGTCGTTTGTTGTAGTGCGAGAAAGGGATATGGTAGAACCAGTCATTGTATAGTATTTCCAGCAGCGGTCTAGCTTATCGCATTGCCAACGAGAGGAAGATTGCTTACTGCCACGAGTGTCGAGTCGAAAGTTGTGGGTAAAGCACTTATACAGTTCAACAATGTGTATACTATGTGTGTATCGTGGAGTTGTCGACGGCACGGGCTAGATGTAGAGAATCCGCGCAACGCGCTGAGATATACGTCATGTACTACAGAGTAGCAGTCGCATAAAAGGTAACTACAAAGACCTACAGTACTTGTAAACTATGCGCTTGGTCATGTTATCATATCACATAGACATTAATTTTTCGAATGATATTCGAAAATCGAATGATATTCGAAATCGAATGATATTCGATATTCGAAATTTCCGATTTTCGAATATCATTCGATAGTCGAATATTCGAAATTTTCGATATTCGAATATTCGAAAAAAATTTCGAATTTCCCCAAGTATACTACCAAGCCTGAAATTTGCTGCGAAAGTGGCCCAAATCTTACGGTAGGCCGGATGCCCACACATCAATATTGATTTTTAGGGCCAGAGTGCGTATAGCGTACACAGTCATGAGCGCAGGGTCCTGCAACGACTCTGCGTCTCCACCTTGCATGCATCTCACTTGCCCGAACCTTCCGTAAGATTTGGGCCGAGGGCCTTGGGTGGCGATTTGTAAATTTCGTAGCCCAACTTTCGCGCTGCAAACTTCTGTCGTCGCTTAGTTAGGGGGACTTCTATCACGTTGATACCAGAGCCAGGTATCCCTCAATCTGGTGGGACGCTGCCTTTAAAGTGAACTGCAGTAATGTCAAAAAGTCCCGCGTTCTTTGAAATAGAAGCACGAAGAGGTGTGATTCATAGTGCCTACCTAAATTTGAATGCGTAAAAGTAGTCACAGCACACAACGTGAGCATGGCCAAGTCATAGTCCCATAGCTTCTTGCTCAAACTGTCTGACATCCTTCGAGATTGATTATA